ACAAACAAACTGGAACAAACTCCGCCTTTGGCCCACCGCCCGTTCGGTCCCTGCCAAGCCAAAATCGGAAGACGGCAACCGGCTTTGGGGTCATTGTTTCGCAATCACAGTTGCAGTTTCAGTGAGAAGGGTGACAGACAGCATTCTGAGTAATTCCGTCGGCGATATGACTTAGCAAATGCCGAATCCACAAGAGATCGCCTCCTCAATCCCGCAAGTCGACAGCACAGCTTCAAAAGTTGCCTCCGTCAGACACCCCGACCTTCTGCTTTCGGCGCTGGGTCAGATTCTATCCCCGCCTCCGCCGCTGAATCGCGCCCGCAACATTGCGTATCTCAAGCGCACTCTCGCAGAGGTAAAGCACTTCCGGGCCGAGCTGGCACACAAACCAGCCTTCTCCGAGGCCAACGTCTACCCACCCATCGCCCTCATGTATGGCAAGGACACGCCGACAGTGTACGCTGTCAAAGTTGCCGGACGAGACGCCATTGCTCATGCGGACTGTTATGACGACCTCGTCTTCAGGCCTGGTGACGGCGTGGTTCTCGCACGCGAGGCACAGCTGCCAGAGGGATACGAACTCGTCCGAGGGGGGCGGCAGAGGACACACAGGGGACACCTCACCATGTTGGGGGATATGCCAGCCGTGGGGCGGGCCATGGAAGCTGTCATTCGGGGGCGGAGAAAGGGCATCGGCATGGGCAGGCCGGATACAGGACACAACGGCGCTGAGAGTAACGCAGGCGCCTAGGAGACCCTGAAGCGTCGGGTCTGGCAGGCCTGGGGTGTGTGCTCAAGTTGCGTGCGTGCTGAGCAGCTCTCTCGGCCGCGGCAATAGAAGAGGCAGTGGAAGGAAAGAGTAGATAGACATCTTAGACATACAAGCGCGTGTCTCACGACAAGCCCATCGCCCAGGACGATGACAGGGCGAACAGAAAAAAAGCATGAATACTTTCACGAAAGAGACCAACGAATCACGCGTGCAATTCGTCGATGGGTAAGATGATGGGCTGTCGTGGTGTTTCTATTCCCGGCACCTTGACGACCGCTGATTGGGCTGGCATCGCATTTCCTCCCCCACCCCTCCTCGCCGGTAAGCGCCGGGGCGGCGGCGACGACATCTGCACGCCCCGAGCCAATGCCATGCCGCCGTGCGTTCCTGCATATGGCACTTGAATAGAACCCCGCATGACCTTTGGGCGGGAACGTCCTTGGTGATCGGCGCCGTCGGTACTGAGGTCCCATTTCGCCAGCGCGGCTATCGTGCATGGGCGCGTCGCTGGGTCTCAGTCTCGGCGGCCAGATGCCGTGTGAGTGTGGTAGGTAGCAGGCGGTTAGGTGGTGTGTTATGGGGAGAGAGCGTGACTATTAGTATGGGGTTCCGCACTCCTCTATAGGACGGGAGCAGATCCTATGGTATTGTTTTCCAGCTGTGCTGTCCGCTGTTCCTTCATCCTCGTCTCCTTTTCTCTCATTCTGGGTGTTTTTTCTGAACGGTTCCAATCCATTCATCCTTTGACTTGTAATCACCTGAAACTTGAACACTTTAGTCCCTCGGAGGCCTTCCATCTCAGTTTCACACACCGACATCCAAAGACGGTGAAACGGAGAAAATATGGCGGAAAGCAAGACAACGTACCAGACTTCCAACTTTGAAGTCGACACCCCGGCCGTGCCGAGCTTCGGCCGTCTCCGAGCCCTCAACTTCCTCGATGCCGCGCGCAACGGCCTCACGCTGCTGGCGCTGTGCTCCAGCATCACCATCCTCGGCGTGTCGGCGGACGCGCTCGCTGTGTACGACCAAACCCATGTGCGCGCCGAGTTTATGCTGCCGCTGTGGCCGGACGACTTTGACCTGCGACCGACGACCACGCTCGTGGCGTGCAGCGCCATTGTGATCCTCGCCAACATTGCCTCCCTCGTTGGTAGCAAGGTCGGCATCGTAAGTGACATATCCTGAATTTTTGGGATCAACGCCGGGAACACCCACACGTTGACGCATTTCTCAGATTCGCGACAACTTCCGCGCGCATGCCGCTCTCTCCCTCCTCGCGCCGCTCGCGTGCCTGACGGCCGCCATCGTCGCTGTGGGCCTCTCGTTCGTGATCCGGGCGTCGACGTCGAGCGACACGATTCACAGCTGGTCTTGCCGGTGGGACGGCGTCTACATGGCTTCCCACCCTCACTTTGGGACTCTGTGCAAGCAGAGTCGCGCAGGCCTGTACCTCACCGTGCTGCTCGTGCCGCTCGAGGTCCTCGTGATCGGTCTGGCTCTGGCGCAGGCTGTGCTGGAGAGGAATGCTGGGCCTGCGCCGCGCCAGGGCCGGAGCAAGGAGAGGAGCCCGACGCCTTCTTCGTGATCTTGGTGGTTCGTTTTCGGTGGGGCTGGGTGGAAGTCTGTGGACCCTGCTGATGGGTATCTCCTTTGGTTTCCGCGGTTGACTGGACAGTACATTTGATTTGGGTCCCAAGGTCGTTAGGTGGTGTATGAGTGGGTACTCCCTTTGATCTTGAGGGGACTGTATGTAATGGACGGCGCTTGGTGTTTGTGATACTGAATCCTCTGCGGAATCGCAGTTTATACTCGACGTTGAAGAACAAATCTGTTCTTTTTGCCCTGTTCCTGTACTTTGTGGTCATGAGCTGAGCCCGAATTTCGAATCGGTCTAGACTCAGGATCGGATGATGGGCGCGTCCGTATTCGGATGTTGGATAGTGTAGAGAAACCATATCAACTTGAGACACGAGGCAATGCAGGTTGCCGAGCGCGTCGTGTAGGTAGCCTGGGCTGACAGCAAGGGGGGCAGTCAGGTCCCGGCCTTGGAGCGTGTTGTTGGGGGCCAGGATACTTGAGTGGGAGGAGCACCGAGCGATGCGAAGCGGAAGCCAACAGACCTGGAATGAAGTTTGGATATGGCGTTGGGGGCCTGTGATACGTTAATGACCCGTTCATCTGTTGGTGTTGGCCTTGTCATGGGGGCAAGACCCCCGAATGTGCCTGCCCCTATGTTTGTCGCAGCCCGTCTTTGGGAGGCCACCGCGCAGACCTCTTTTGACAGGTGGTAGTTCCCCTCAAAATGCCTACCTATACAGGTAGGTATTTAGGTACTGTGTGAACCCTAGTCTGATATCTGGTTAGGTATTCCACCTGCAAGGAATTCATTAGAAAGTCAAATTCTCACCTCCCCCACGCTTTGGCTTGAATCTCATCTGCCTCGACACCCTTGACCTCGAGGGACACCTGAACTTGGAACCTGACTCTGGACTTCCTGAGATGTTGTGAACACATATCATCAATATCGGGTCTACACTCAATGACATCAAATCCCTGTGCGTTCGCTCTTCTGACCCCAAACAGGGCCTGACGCTCAGCACTCTGCTCTATACCCACAACGGCGGCGATACAATCCAACCAGTACCATAATCTACTGAATATCGATCACAAACCCTATATACCTGGACTGTTGCAAGGCCCCATTCTGCCCACGATGAGCAGCTCGTTGACAGTTGACAATACCAAATCACTGTCATCGCCCATTGCGCAGACACGCCGCCCATCGAATGCTGCGCAGCTGACCTTCGCCAAGCGCAAAGAAGCGCAGAGGGAGGAAAAAGTCACGTCCCTGCAGTCGCTCATGAATGACGGCCACTGGGTAAGCTCGCGGTCCGTTTCGCGCCCGCTACCCGTCGATCCTACCAGGGAGTCGACAAAGGTCAAATCGCAGCCGACACCGGCACAATCGCGCAGCCGGTACTTCGAAGACGCCTTCCAGGCAGGCAGAGAAGTTAGCTTGGCGAAGGACCGCATACGGAGCGAGGCTGTCATCATGGCTGAGGTCTGCACAAACGTCATCGTAAGCTGCCCTCCCCATAAAAACCTGATTTCTCTCGAATACTCAAGCTCGATTAGGTTGGCGATGAATTCAATTTCATCTTGGACCTTTCCCACCAGCTTTCCATCCGATATCAGCGCCCCGTGTCCTCGATTGTAGTCACGTTGCAGCATGGCGCGTGTATGCTGTTCGGTGGCAGCTTCGACTCGGCTTACACCATGTCCATATCTGGACTACCGATCGAGTTTGCGCCGACAAAGAACAGACGCATCGCGGCCCTGTTGCAGAAATACATGGAAGAGTCTCTAGGCGTCTTGCCACGTCGAGGATACCTACGTTTTGTACCACTACCAGAAGAGAATGTCGCCTGGGACGGCAAGACAGTCGCAAGCGAGCTGGCAGAGACCCAAGGACTTGAAGACGAGCACGGTGTGGCCACAATATTGCAGCATAAAACCAGCCGGAGACTTAGTGCCAAGGTGAAAGAATCTCGAGTCCGCTCCGCTCCGGCTTCACTGACTAGACAGTCCATGTCTTCACTCAAGTCGAGATCCACCAAAACCAACAGCGCACCTGATAGAATTGATCTTATAGCAAGTCATAGCATGGACAGTGGGCCACCAATGCCGCTCATGGCGACGGTGTGCGAAGGAGGCGAGTCGAGAGCGGGTGGCATGACGAGTAATGCAGACAAGGACGATTGTAAGGGTGAGGAGCTGTGGAAGAGCCCCAAGGTGGGAAAGAGGAAGAGCTTCGTGGCATCATTTTTTGGGCGTTCCAAGCTGGGTGTCTGAGTTTCGAAACCCTCCTCTTGAGAGCGACAGCTTCAAAGGTCGGGATCATGCTGGCCTCATGCTGGCCTGTAGCATCACACGTCTGCTTTGACAATTGACGGTGAGGCTGTAGAGGAGGTCTCAAAGTCCGCAGCCGGTACCTTACCTTAGTGGAGTGGGGCCAGGCATTCGGCTTTGCCAGATGATGACACCCGTCGCTTACCTGATCAAAGGCCTGTGAGGATCGGAGTGGGGATTGGAGAGGCAGGTACCTGGAAGATGGCAGTGGCAGGAGCTCTCGCCAAGTGCCTACCTTGCGGTACTTGCCCACCTACTCAGGTGCCGCCTGCCTGTGTTGTTGCAGCACAGTCGCAGCTTCCCGACTGGATTGGGGTGATTGGGGTGGCCATCCTCTCACGTCGCCAGCTGCCAATTGCCAATTGCTTCACCTCTCAGATCTCATCACACGAGCACCACCGCCCGATCACTTCGACGTAGGCACCTTCTCAACAAGATATCTTGCCCCCGACAAGAGGAAGCTTCGCGCTCTCAGACCTCACTTTCACCCTGCACTGCAACCTCGTTCTGAACTTGCGCGGCGAGAGCCACGAGGAACGGCGAGTCAACAGCCAGCTGGTCAGCGAGGCCACGAAATCGCTGAGCCCCATTCATCGTCAACCACGGCAGATCTCGAGCCGCAACCCATCTCTCCGGCCATATTCTAGTCGCAAGCAGGCCTTGTTCGCCAGGCAGGTAGGCGTTCCCACGCTACATCACGTTAGACATGGAGGTGAGAGGCCGAACCATCTCATTCTCTCGCTTACAATTGGTCCCCGTCACTCCGCAACATCGCTCCCGTCTGCCCTCTTGATCCCCTTCCCCTTTGTATCTCATCTCCGCTTCCTCCCCTTTTCCATCGAGGATGGCCTTGCTCCGACCCCTTGACGCGCCTTGCGTCCTCTCACGTGCTGCAGTGACTGGGTAGTGCCCTCGCCAAGATGAAGCCACAGCCTCAGACCCGAGAGGAAGGATCAGAGACGGCACCAGACTCAGCCCAATGGACGGAGCGCCATCGTCACTCGCTCTGCCCGGCCCTAGTCCTGTCGCCCTGGACTATCGTCAACGTTACGCCGCACTGATCCGCGTGGCCCGGATGACGAGCCCCGATCATTGGGTGCGCCCGCGCCTGGAAGCCTGTTTGCCGGTCGAACTCTGCCAGTCCCCGTGGTGCAATGGCCCGTCAACGACAGGGGTCGTCGTTGAGCTGAGCCACCAAAAACGGCCTAACCGTGCGACGGTGAGACGACACCCATGAAATATATTTATCTTGGTAGCCCAGCCATGCTTCTCCCTGCCTGAGCCCGAGAGCCTGGCGCATGGGAGACCGGGCCACCCCCAAGCGAACAACTCGAAACCGTCCATCTAGGCCGGCCGTTCGCACTATGATCCCATGACGAAAGCCCTGCCGCCGCCTCGCACTCTGTATCCCATCTGCGCCTGGCCGCCCATCCCGGCGGTGAGCCGTCATCCATCTCACGGACCAGCGTGACGCTCAGGCAGGGGAGACGCGAACCTGGACCCGCGAGGATAGGTCGTCTTATTGCTTCTTCGCCCCCGAAGAACGAGCGCTTCGGCAGTGTGTCGATTGCAAGCTTGCAAGCCTCTGTGTGCTGTGCTGCGCTGGGCTTCGTCAGGCCTCAACGGACGTCAATGCACGCGCGAAATCGTCTCCAGGTTGCGACCTATCAATAACGCCTCGAGTGTCCCTTTCGGGTACTGGCCGGTCTACGCGGCGCTCTCACCGCTCACCTGAGTTTGCCACTGAGCCCTTCATCCCACAACTCTACCATGACTTCGTCCCCTCCCTACAGCCAGCTCTCGCCTTTCCAAGCGGACGTTGGTGATGAGCCCTCTGTGCAAGAAATAGTCGCTGGGAGCAGCAACCACGAAAGTCCAGCAACGCTAACACTGCAGCGTGTCTTTGAACAGAGTCGCCGAGGCGCCCCCAAGAAGGATGACGCAGACAAGCCTGTCGAGGTGCCCCCGGGGCCGCCAGCCAAGGGCAAGCCGAGACTGCTCCTGATGGGACAGAGGAGGTGAGGGCTGTATACCGCGTGTTTGCCACTCCGAGTCTGACCATGCGCAGGAGCGGGAAGTCGTCCATATCCAGTGTCGTCTTTCACAAGCTGCCGCCTAACGAGACACTGTTCCTCGAGTCGACGGCGCGTATACAGAAGGACTCGATGGCGTGAGTATAGCCCCATTCTCTCCCGCACCCGCATGTACTGACTGACTTGGCAGCTCATTCATGGATTTCCAGGTCTGGGACTTTCCTGGGCAGATCGATATCTTCGAGAACCCAACCTACGACATGGAGGCCATCTTTGGTGAGATTGGCGCCCTCATCTGGGTTATTGACGCGCAGGACGATTACCTTGAGGCCGTGCAACGCCTCAACACAACGATTCTCAACCTACAAAGGTCATATCCCAACATTAACATTGAGGTCTTCATCCACAAGGTCGACGGCCTCTCGGATGACTACAAGCTCGATATCCAGCGTGACATAACCATCCGCATCCAGGACGACCTTTCGGACCACGGCTTCGAGAACGCTCCTGTCACCTTCCACCTCACATCCATCTACAACCACTCCATCTTTGAGGCCTTCAGCAAGGTCATCCAGAAGCTCATCCCCCAGCTCGGTACCCTCGAGGCCATGCTCACCAACCTCTGCCGCACCTGCCGCTTCGAGAAGGCCTATCTCTTTGACGTTCTTTCCAAGATCTACATCGCCACTGACTCGGCGGCTGCCGACATGGCCGCTTACGAAATCTGTTCAGATTACATCGACGTCATTATCGACATTACTGACGTGTACGGATCGTGGAACCGTTCTGATGCCCAACGCCAGCGCATCGAGGGCGAGCCATGGAACGCAAAGGTCGAGGACCAGGTCGCGTGCAACTGGGCTGAGAGCTGCATGGTCCTGCACGACGCCGGACGACCGATTATGCTGCGCGAGGTTGATCGATACCTCGCCCTCGTGGCCATTATGAAGGAGGACTCTTATGACCGCATGCCGCTCGTCAACATGAATGTCGAGGCAGTGGTCCAGGGGTTGACGGAGTTCTTTGACATCACGAAGCCCCGCGGGGAAGGACAGGCGCGGCGAATCTAAGTCTTGTATTTTTCGGGTGTCGCATATTTATCTACGCGTAGAATCAACCTTTCGTTTTCTTCTTCTCTTGATTTTGGTCAATCCCTTGGTCAATGCCGTGATTCGTCTGCGGCCCAGCTTTCATGCCGCAGTCAACATGTCTGGGCCACCCAGCCGAACGCGCCCCTGCGGTGCCCAACATGATGCTTCCCTCTACGCATGGCTTTCGTAGTTCCTTCACCTTCACCCCCACCCCAGCAGGCACCATCACCTCGGCCGCCGACTACTCCCGACGCCTCGCCCCTTGCGCGTAGGGGTGAAGCGTCGGGGCGGGATCTGCAGCGGCCGCCGCGACGGCAACCGGACAACCTCCTATGCGTTGTCCCGCCCAGGCGTGTTCAATTGCTGCTGCTGCTGCTGCTTGTCCTCCTGCCCCTGCTGTTGCGGCACGGCGGCATCCTTCTCCAGGGCGAAGACGCGCCACGTCGTCCTGTCACGACCGAGGAGACAGACGCGCGGGGGCATGTCGTCTCGGACGTCGCTTCGGGGGTGGACCTCCATGCGAATGGGAACCCAGGAGCCGCCGCCGCCGCCGTTGCTTTCGGAGAGGGTGAAGGACGTGAAGCCGTGCGCGGCGGAGAGAAGTTCGGGGTCAGGGAGGGACTCTTCGGTGTAAGGGGCGTACTTGACCTCGGGCGTCTGGATGGGGAGCTGCATGATAAGGGGTCTCTTGTCTGTGATGGGGCGTCAGCGCTTTTCCTTCTCTTCTCGACGTGGTTGGTTGGTCTGAACATGCCGGTGGTCCGGAGAAGCAGGACGAGGGTCTCGTGGCCGAGGAACTTGATGTCGGTGATTTTGTGGTCGCCGAGACGCAGCGCGGGGCACGTCTTTGACGTCGTGGTGCTGATGCCGTTGATGATGCGCACGGTGTTGCGGAAGATGTACACTAGAGCTTCGTCAGAGTCGGCGGGACCCACGGGTGACGACAAAACGGCACGGCCGAGAAACTTACGCTCGTCTTCTTTGCCCTCCTGGATTGCTGCCACAAAAGTCGACGCTTGGTCCTCTAGGTCATTCTGGTAAGAAAAAAACAAACAGTCATGTCAGCAGAGGCGAGCAGGCGACAACACAACGAGAAAACTTACCCCGTTGATAATCGGCCCCATGACACAGTCGATCCTAGACATTTTGCTACCCATGACGATCCTGGTGGGCTGTCCGAACCTGACGCTCCGCTTCTGGGCCTCGGCAATGTCCTTGAAGATGCCGTTCGCGCGGTCCTCAAGGTACGCCACAAGAAAGGCGAGCTGCGGCAGCGCCTTCATGTAGGGCTGGCCATCTTCCTGCCGGGCAATCTGCGCATCGACAGCGTCGAGAAGCGCCGGCTCGTTCTGGATAAACTTCCAGTCGGCCTCGCGCTCGTCGTCGGCCACGGGGTCGAAGAAGAGCGCCATGGGGCTGCGCAACAGATAACGCTGGATGTACGCGAGCACTTTTCCGTTTTCCAACCCGGCCTCCTTTTCGTTGAGCTCCTCGGTGGCCGAACTCGACGACGCGAGCCGGTCGATCTGGAAGCGCAGCCAGCCGGAGAAGGCGGTGAAGAGGTCGAGCTCCTCCATGACGTGTAGCAGGACGCGGTGGGCGGCGAGACGCAGACAGGCAACGACGTCCATGGCGCGGGCGACCTGCGCGGCGGAGAAGCCAATGTCGTCGCGGGCATCGTGGAACTGGGCGAGGCGCGGAGGCGGCTGAGGATGACGGCGCAGCGCTCGAGAGCCGGGAGGAGGTTCTCGTGGACGAGCGCGCGAAGGGCCTCGAGACCCGAAACGGCGGCCTTGTCCCAGCGTTTGTGGCCCTAGTCTGGGTCAGCGTCATGGGGCTGGGTTGGGGGGGTCGGAGGTTCGTGAGATGGGTGGTCTTACGCGCTCGGCCAGCTGGTCCACGAGCCATTCCTTGACGACCTCGTGGGTGTGGCCAGTCACGACAGTATGGAAGAGAGCCTGGACAATGTCGGTCGGCCCACGCTCGGCGCCCTGTAGATCCTCCTGAATACTACGCAGGAACTTGCTGGGGAGTTCTCGCGTGTTGTTGTACTCTACCGTGGCGTGGAGCTGCGACTGCTTTACGTATCGGAGCAGCTTCTGAAGAGTAGTCAACTTGGACGCGAGGAGGGCGAGGTTGATCGGAGAGTAAGGGACAAACGGTAAGTCCATGGGAACCAGATAGACGGCGCGGTCATCGTCGGCAGGATGCTTCAGGATGAGACAGTGGGTGGATGCCGACGGATGGGCGGCATGGTGGATGAGCTGCAGAACGCCTGGCTTGTACATGGCGCTCGGCAGCGTATAGCGAAAATCACCAATGACGAACGAATCATAGATGCTGAGGTGCAGACGCCCGTCACTGGTGCCGACGACCATGACAAAGACCTCATCGCTCTCGGCCGTGTTGAAGGGCCGAAAGAGGAACTCGATACCAGTCCGCAAGGTGAAGACCATGGCATCCTCGCTGTGGAGTGGTCAGCCGCGTGCTCCTGGGCAGTCAATAGGGCCCAGAATCGACGAACCCTTCGCCGGCACTGGCGCTCGGCAGAGGACTCAGTTTGGGCAGCGACGACTCGACATCGAGAAACGTCAGCTCGCGCGGCAGATCTAGTTCTGGAGGGTTGCCTGCGGTTTGCAGCTCTTCGTCGAGGGCATGGCGCCACGAGGCGGTCTCGGCCTCCTTGGGAACACTGTCTGTCTTGGAGACGCTGTTGCACGCCCAGCCGATATGGGTGATGCCGGCAGACTGGTCCTCGGTCACGCGAATATGATGGGCCGCCTTGTTGTTCTCGAGACCCATCAGTCTCACGTGGCCATCGCTCCAGCCGACGGCGAGAAATTGACCTTGTCCACGGTCAGCAACCTGCCTGTCAGCTCCGAAGATCAGGATGCCGTACCGTCGGGTTTCCACTGGAGAGCGAGGGGCTCTGGGGCTGTCGTGCCCGGGCGGGCGTATTGGTGGATCTTGGAGACGACCTGGTCCCTTGGACGGTAGATGAGGAGATTCTTGGCGGCGGCATCCCAGGTGACGGACAGGTCGACGGTGGGATTGCTCTTGGGCAAGCCATCGGGCACGCGATGATCGAACTTTGGTCTCGCTGATGAGACGCAGGGGCTGGGGTTCAGCCATGGGTGGTGGTTGAGATGGGGGACGCAGCAACGCGCCAAGCAGCATTGTTGCTTTTGATATCACGGATAGCAGTGACCCTCCGTCGCCATCCGAGTAACCCCTGATAGAACGAGAATTCAGAGACGAGAAGAGGTTCGGTCAAGGATGGCAGTTCAGCAGAGGCCGTAACCGAGCTTGGAAGTAGACGGGGATGCCCGAGGAAGGTAGGCAGGCAAGGTATTCAGTGAGCACGATGCGGCAGGGCTGCCCCACAATGAAGCTGGACAGACTGATTGGTGGTGGGCGCCCAAGACATTCAACCCTGGGCACGTAGACTGACAAGCCCCCCCCCCACCACCAGCAAGTCCAGATCGGAATGTCGAACAGTATTCCAGAACAATTGTCGAGGGAACCTGCCAGGACAGTGTACATCCCAGGAGGGATGCCGAACAATTACTCCATCCCCCCAACCTGTTGAATCAGGCGGGACATGTGGCCTCTTGCAGCGCAGACATACACAGACAGTCACAAGGCGCCTGCGAGAAAGACTAAAAACAATGACAAGCTTGTATTCCATCAATCTAGGTCCAAAAGATACAAGACAATAACGACGACACTCGCCTTCCCTCTCACACTTCCTTCGTATCACCAAGGTAAACACATCACAGCACGACGGCATACGGACTTAGAAAGCCAAACATGTCTGCCCAAGACATGCGTTCCGCGTCACGCCTCCAGACATCGCGCAGTGCCTCGCCGATGGCGCGCACTGAACCAAACCGCATGTCATTGAAGATGCCCGAGACCATGTCAGACACGCCGGCTCTGCGCTTACTTGTTTGCGCGTGGGCGCCGGCGACATAGAGCGGGAAGATGACGCAGTGATAGATGTGGGAAGACGGGTGGACCTCGAACAGCCCGTCGAGACAGGGTTCGACGTGCTGCTGCACAAGCGCATGACATGTCGGCAGTCCGCAGATGACGCGGTAGAGGTAGATCAGTGCCGTCCGTTGGAAGGCGCGCACGAGCTTGAACGCCTCGACAGCCTCGATCTCGCCCTGGCCAAGGGGGAGTGGCTCCCCGACATCCGGGTCCGATCCGAGATCCTCCGTCGTAAGTGGCGCGTACACGGGCTGCAGGCTGGCCTCGAAAGCCCGAATGCGATCAACCGAGAGGCGTTCGACGCCGGTGCTGACGGCCTCGTGGTAGGTGGCGAGCGTCGCCATATCGTGGAAGACGGCTGCTAGAGAGCACCGGCCCCTGGCGTCTCTGCCCCACCAGACGGAGCCCTTGTCGATGACATCCCAGACGTCGGGTGCAAACCCGGGGGTTCGCTGCTGCAGGAGGGCCGT